GAACAAATCGGCAGGGTTTTGGACGGTGACAGTAGTGGGTTTGTTGATCCGCTCCCCAAATTTTCCCCAGAAACTGTTCAGCATGAGCTTGGCAGTGGCCTTGCGACCAGGATTTTTGGCAATACTGGCAATGTCCAGTCGGATCCCTTCCCGTTCCTGGTAGCGAAGAATATAGTCTCGTTTTTGCTCGAGGGTCTGACACCAACCAGGCCACCCCGCGGATTCTTGTTTCAACTTGAGCCAGGTGTTGACGTAATTGGCGAAAAGACCTGATTGGCGTTGTTCAGGGGGAAAATGCCAGACTTCATGGATCTGAATGAGTGTGTACCCCTTGTCGACAGCTTTGACCAGTTCGGGCGTGCACCAGGTTCCGCGTAGCATGCGATCATGATCGGAATGAGGGCAATAGTGGGTTCGGGTCAACATGGGTTGGGCTTGCTCTGTCTGGACACAGGCACGGCAGAGAGGGAAGGTGAGCTTGTTGCCGCTACGCACGGGCAAGACGGGGTGGAACAATCCAGCCGGAGGAAGAATGTCTACGGTGGCTAGACCAAAATAAGACTCCAGGGACTGGTCGGCGGGTTGAGTGATGATTTTTGGATGCCCGATGGGGTAGGGACAGTTTTTGTTGACCCATGGGTACAGGGAGGTTACATCCACATAGCGTATTTCCTCACCCTCTCCAGCCACGGCATGTAGAGCTACGGCACCCGTTCGACCCCCAAAGAAGGCTTCACGGGGTTCCAGGGGCGCGACCAAATCAAAGGAAGTCAGGAAACGTTGGACGGCTTCATCGGTGTCTACCCGTTGGTCCCATTCACATTCCCACATTTCGATCACCGTGTAACCTGCTCGGAGCAGTGCCAGGCGTTTGGCGAGCGTGGCTTGATGGAGTTCCTCGACGCTTCTGTCTGGCACCGCATAATGTTTGGTGTTTCTCCTGGGATAACAGCGGGGACAACCGTGATAGAGACACCCGTGAAACTCGTAGACGGTGCGTGTCAGGGGATCATAGCCATCGACGAAATGACGGTGGGCGCCGGTTCGGATGGACTGTTCGCCCCCATTACGAACGTGACGAATACGATCAGCACTAGCCCCGTCTTTGGGAATGAGGTGTTCCTGGTAGTACAACCATTGTAGGGCCTTAAGGGATTGATTGACTTGGGCCCCTCGCCACCCTCCGAGAGGTTCCACAGCAATGGTGTCGGGGGTCAAATGATGCTTGCGCCAATACAGATTGCAGGCACTGGCGATCGTGATGCACTTGGCCATGGGGTTGAAGCCAGCCTGCTGTTCAAATTCCTGTTGAAAGGCTTCACACCCGGCTTTTAACAGAGCGACATCCGACTTGCAATAGTCAATCATTTCTTGTTTGAAATGAAAGGGCACGTTCCGACGGACTTGATCGGCATGCCAACGGGTCAGTTCATCTTTCTTTTTGGCCATCATGCCGTCGGGATCATAAAATTCCAAATCGGGGATACGGCCCATATACTGTTGATGGTCGGGGGTGTTGAACAAATGGGGAAAGAACCCCTTCTTTAATTCGGTCAAATTGAAGGTGCTGGGAAAAGAGGCGAGCGGCATGGGCAAGAAACACAACGAGTCAATGAATTTGATGGGTCCACTCTTGAAAGATAGGACTTTGGCTCCCACCGTTAGCTGATCCACCACCTCGCGTTGTTGCTGATAGAGTTCATGGAGAATAAACATGCCATCAAACCCTTTCAAATTGTGAAACACCACAAGTATCGTCCGTTCCTCCTCACTGTCCGGAACGTCCATGAGATCATCCAATTCATGCAAAAATTGTGAGGCACAGTCCTCCCCGTCCAACACATGAATAGTTGTTTCTGCACTCGACGAATAACAGAGCAAATTAGCCACAAACACACCTTCTGCATTCTGCATGGCTTCAAAATCCGCGTAAACAAACAGGGGAGGGGGTGGCGCCACCATGCGACCTCCCCCCTCCTCTGTTGGTTCAGTCTCCTCCTGTTCCACCACGGGCTGAATGTAACATTTATGGTCCTGGATGGACACCCATTCCCGACACACAGGGCATTTGGCGTACCCGCACTGGTGACGTTGGTTGGGGACGACCGTGTATTGGGCTTGACACTTGCGACAGTTTTTGATGGATTGACATTGCTTGCTGACCACATGATGTTGCATACAATGGATACCATAAAACTTGCGGTGACACGGACGGCAATACTCGGTGGGACGGGTACCCCGCACATAATCCGGACAATCAAAGCGCCCACACGCGGAGCAGCGTCTCCCATGACAAGTGTGATTGGTCCGATCGTTGGTGTTGAACCCTCGTTCACAGTCCACACAATAATAGGAGCGGTTGACAAACGCGGGAAAGGACGTGCAGCCATCAAAATGATCATTGGATTTGAGTAAACGAATCTGATGAGGGGCAGTGGGGCCTTTGAAGATCAAAAAGAACGGTTTCATCCGGGTCATCACCAAGAGTTGATATTGAGTCCCCAACGCTTGTTGAAATTGGCGAAGCTCGGGTAAACCACGGGGACCCTCAGCGACTCCCGCTTGCTGATGTAAAGCCTGGGCTTGACGTTGCTGCACAGGACGACCACGTTTGAGATTGTCCCAGTCGCGAAACCCGTCCACACCTTGATCTTTATGGCAATGGGCTCGCATGGTGACAATAGCGCGGGCACAGCATAGGGCATCTTTGTTGTTGATGGGGATGATACATTTCTTTTTCTTATTGACTCGATCCAAGCATGAACGTCCTGCATTGAGTGTTTTCGTATGTCGACCGGACCCTGGGCCGGGCATGGAGACAAACACCACATCCACTTGGAACCCGCGATCAGGGTTGAAGGCTTCATTGCTGTTTAATTTCCCAGCTAGGGTGGCTAACATCTCATCTAAGCGAGCGGTGCGTTGTAAAAATTCCCCCACGGTGAAATTGGCAGTTTGATAAGCGTGAGTGAACCCGTGAGCCGTGATGGCAAAATTCACAAAATGATGGGCAGGTCGCTGCTCGCGGTCGAGTTCCGTTTCAATGGCTTGATGTAACGCTTCCGTGAGCGCCAGGCCAATATTATCCCCAGCCACAGGATCCCGCAATTGACGCAATTGCGCATTGAATTGCGCTCGCTCCACCACGTTACGCCAGCGGCGTCGTCGGCCAATAGGTTGCATGGTGAATTGAAAGAGAGGGCCGCGAGCGGCGGCGGCCCCTCCCGACTGTTCCCACCGGTCATAGGCGCGGTTCAACAGAGCATCCTCGTCCTCATCACTGTACCAAGAGTCTTCCGCCATGACGGAGGAAAAACAATTTGAATTTCCCGCGCCAGACGCTGGCTTTTATAGACCCAAAAACACGTGATCAGACGAATAGGGATTGGTGGATAGGGCTCAGGTGAGAGTCAGGTGAGAGTCAAGTGAGGGGTTGATTGGACAGGAGGAGGATTGAGGGGGGTGCCCCCCATGGGTACAGATTTCTCCAATCTCCTCTGAGCCTGGACCGAGATCGGTGATTGGCGGAGAGATTTCTAGATATAATCCAGCGTCCAGACCAGACGTCAGTTGTGTTCGAGAATGCCCAATCGAGATCCTGAGAAGGTGAAAGAAGCTAAACACAGGTGGTACCTCAAACACCGGGAAGAGATTGCGGCACGGAAACGTGAGCAGCGGGCGGCCAAGAAGAAGCTTAAACCCCCCAAACCACCTAAACCGCCTCCGACCCCGGAACAGATTGCGAGAGCCCGAGAGTTGAATCGGTTGGCCTGTAATCGATACCGAGCGGGTCATTTGGCGCAAGTGCGGGCTGTGAACCGTGCTTATTACCGTCGACACCGTGACCATATTGTCCAGCAGCAACGGGACCGTCGTGCCCGGAATAGACAGACTTCGCCCAGTCCGTTCCAAAAGTTGCGTGCGTTGGCAGACGTGTGTGCTGCCCGTTTACTAGAACTGGAGCATGGATACGCCAGGATTGCGCCAGCCCCGGAGAAAGCGGGACCCTGCAAGAAACAAACAACAACAAAAAGCATATCGGCAACGTCTGTATGCGGCGGTGAACGGGATTGAGGACGTCAAGGCTATACACCGTCGACGCTACCACGAGCGTATGGCTCGTATGAAGGCCAATGGAGAGTACGAGGCCTTCAAGGCCAAAAAGACCCAAGAGGGCATGCGACGCTACTATGGCATGACCGAGGAGCAGCGGAACGAAGTGAAACGTAAAAACAATCAATGTCAAAAAAACTGGATGCAGAAAATGAAAGACAAGGGGACGTACGAGGCCTACAAGCAGCGCTTGAATACGCGGCGGCGGGAGCTAGCAGCCGAGAAAAAGCGAGCGTTGGGTGAGGAGGGGTGGAAGGCCCTGCAGAGTCAGCGATACCAGAATCGGGTAGAATCCATTCGACGTCGAGAATGGTCCTGGTTGGACGAGGCATTAGAACGACCTTTTCCCCTCCCGTGGCTGCCCTTGGACTGGGCCGAGTCCGAGCCTGAAGAGGACACAGTGCAAACCCTTCGCGCTGAGGCATTACAGCAAATGAACTACTATTTGTAAGAACAAAAATGAAGTTTAATTAAAACATGTGTGCCATTGAACAAAGTTGTCTTTTTTATGACTAAGGGGGTTTTACATGCCCAATCGGAGTTTGGCTTTCATAATGCGTCTAACAATGCGTTCCGTCAGGTTTTTGCTGCCTGGGAGTTGATCAATCTTGGCAATCATCTGTCTTTCAAATTCTTGGCTTTATCATAGTCGATGTCATGGGCTTTAGCAATCCTGTCCAACCGGTTAATGCCGGGATCCCCACGGGCCAATCGTTTTTTCAAATGGGTGCCAGGTCCCATGTACTGATAACCGGGCCAATGAAATTCAATGCCTGTCTTGTTGAGGAGGTTTTGCACATCAAATAATTTGCCTCCACGTTGCGACCGTCGTCGTCGACGTCGCTGGGAACGGGGCGCAGCACGGCGGCGTCTACGAGTCCGTCCCATCACGGGGTTTTCCACGATTTCCAATCCAAGGCTTTCTTGGCCCAACCGGCGGCTTTCTTTTTGGCCACCTCGGTGGCTCTCTTTTTGACCACCGCTTTGGCTTTCTGTCTGATTTTACGCTTGACCGCCAAGGAGGGGGTATCCCAAGGTTTCGGGGCAGCGTCTTCTGTAAAGGGCAACTCTTTGGCCAACTCGGCACTGCTCAACGGGGTGGTGAACTTGAGTTTCTTTTTGGCACTGGGCGTGATGTTCGGTTTGGGCGGGACAGGTGGTTTTCTGGACCCTCCAGGCGTGGATGCTTGTTTTATACCCTGGGTGGCCTTGACCAATTGCGTGAACCAAGCTTGCATGGGGCCCGCCTCAAAATCATCGTCGCCCGGGGTCGTGGCTCCTACGGCACTCACACCCCCCGTCGGAGCTCCAAACGGTTGGCGCACTTTTTTGGTCCAATGGCGTAATTGACGGCTCACGGCTTTGAGTTGAGGTCGTTTCCAAGCATCGGGGACATCGCTGGTCAGGAGCACATGTTGTTTGGCCGCTAAATCAGCCGCTTTGGTCAAGCGGGTATCTTCCACCAATTCTTGTTTGTACTGATCTCGTAATTGTAAAAAAGCCGGGGCGTTGTCCACCGTGGTGCTCACCATCTCGGGTTCCATGGTGCAACTGAGGGGTCTTGTCTAGCGCATGCAACGTTTATAACATCGGTAGAGTTCAGGCCAGAGGGCACCCCCTTTTTGAGCCATCATGATGGCGCGTCGTCGTTTGACCGAATGGGCAGGTTTGGCCATAGCGCGTAGACTCTGGGCGTGGGGTTTGAGTAACGTGATGGTGTGTCGGGAACGGGGCACGGTGCCACGGAGGGTGTTCATCACCAATTCACTGACAGCATTGATCTGATCCGCATTGGCCATCCGCAACAATTCTTGTCGTTTGTGTTGATTGGCTTCTTGTAAGACACTTTTTAAGAACGGGGCTTGACGTTCCATGCGCCACCCCATGATGAATCTTGAGTTCAGGCAATGACCAAGGTCTATTTATGGTAAAAATGGCGCCACACCGACCACACAATTCGCCATGATAATGCGTTTGCATGTGATGTCGACACCGTGCACACAAGGCCGCTTCATACTGGTCGTCCCAATCCAACGCAAACGTGACGGCTTTTCGTTTAGGTCGTCGTCGGTTAGTTCGGGCGTCGAAGACGGACTCTTGGTTTGTATTTCCTGAGCCACATAGGCGAGAGAGCCATTGCCAAAAGCGGTAACCTAGCGCCGCGTTGGAGTCCACGTCGCCGGCGTCGTATTCGAGGGACATAACGATGTCGGCGACCGTTGGGTCCACGGACCATCGTTCAACTAACCCCTGTTCAGGCCCACAAAGGTCTTTTTATACGTTTTCACATGATTGAACAATTAAAGGATTCCCCCGCATAGCGTTTCCGTTTGCCTGAAGCCACTTCTCGTCGACGTTTTTCACCAATTTTGATGGCACGCTTGGTTTGATGATCCCCGATGGCTTTGGTGATCCCATACCCAGCTTTCATGATGTCTATGGGCAGGCCGACCCCGACACCCCCCACTTGACTCACACGCCGTCGTCGTTTGGCGGACCGTCGAGTCGTAGAGCGTTTGCGTTTGCGTTTGGGTCCCATGACGACTCTTTTTGAGAGCTGAACACTTTGAGCCTCTTTTTTATACATTTTCACATTAAGCTGCACCCACCCACTTTTTTGGCATACCCCTTCTTGACCAACCACTTGTTGTACGACTCCTTGCTACCACTCGCGCGATACTGGCGTTTATAGTTGGCCACTCGTCGTTTGTCGGCCTGTATGTCGGCTTTGGAAGGAATCTTCCACATACCCGGGTCTGTCAACAACTTGAAGCCTTTCTTGATATCCACCACGAACGGTGCCTTCCCACCCTTGATCCTACGTCGACGTGGTCGTCGAGTCGTGGTGCGTGTGCGTTGGGCGCCTCGACATTGGCCACACATCGCGTGTCGACAACGACCACACATTTTTAGGACGATGGAAGGGAGACCACTGTTTTTATATCCTTTTTTGTTTACGCAGAACTGTGACCTCGTCCACGGGCTCGACCCCGTCCGCGTGCTCGGCCACGGCCCCGGCCCCGTCCTCGGCGTGGGGTTCTGGGTGGACTGGACGTGCGGGTGGACGTGCGACGTACCGATGGTCGTCCTCCTCCATCTTCGTAGACGGTGGTGACTGTATTGGTGTGCGTGATGTTGCGAATCCGTCGGCCTCGAGCCCGTTGTTGAGCATCTTCATTCAACAAATCCAACCGTCGCCTTAAGCCTCGCCGTCGTTCGTCATCATCATCGTCGTCCTCGTCATCGGACGGAGGGGACGAATCGGGGGACGGTGGGGAGGGTACACGGGGACGTCGTCGCGGTTGTTTGGCAGCAATGGTGGGGCGTCCGGTGGGGGTTGTCACCGTGGAGGTGGTGGTCCTGGTGCCTGCCCCAGCGCTGCGGCGAGAGGTAGAGGGGCGTGAGGGAGCCGTGGTGGTCGTGGCGGTGGTGGCAGGGCGTGTTCGGGTGGAGGTGACGGGTCGTGGTCGGCTGGTGGTGGTAGTGGTGGTGGGGCGTGTTCGGGTCGACGTGGTAGGACGGGTTTGGGTGGCTGTGGTGATGGTGGGTGGTGGTGGCGGTGCCGTGGTAGTGGTGGTGGTGGCGGGGGCCGTGCCAGTACCCGCCACGGGCGGTAACGTAAACGCATTCAAGTCATCGTCCACATTGACCGGGTAGGTCAAATTGAAATCCTCAATCTCTTGATTCAATTGGGCACGATCCACCGGTCGAGTCAATTCGGCCACCATGTCCGTCATGTTGCTGAGATCCCGGAGGACTGAAGGAGAGGACGGGGAGCCCACGCCAGCAGGCGAGAGGGTGGGTGGGTCCATGCGGGTTGATAACTCAGTATGTTGTCCGCCTTCTCTTTGCCGCCGTTGACGTTCGCGTTCTCGTAGCAGCGCGTTTTCGAACGGCAGGGACATCCGCACGCAAGGTGTGGACTTGCGCTTTGCCTTCTCGGGGCGTTAAATGACTCCACAAACGGTAGCGATCATCCGACGCAGGATGCACATCCAACATCAAATAGCCAAAGGGACGGGCTGTGATGCGTTTAAATAGGCGCAAGACTTGACGCCACCGATCCGGAAAGGCTTGCAATAAAATGGTTCGTATCCCTGTTTGATCCCGGGGGTTTTTGAACGCCACAATGTAATGCGCGTTGCGATTAATGGTCTTGGAGAATTTGCCAGGCGGGAATAAATCTTGCGTCAAATACAGCACCGTGATGTTGCGATGATGCGAATCTTTGGTGAACAAATCCAACACGCGCTTGTCTTGTCCCCCTTCTTCCATCAGGTCGTCCAAGACCAGTACCCCTCCGCGCGTTCGACCAAACCATTGCGTCAAATGACGGGGGTCCGGTAACCCGCGATGAAATTGAATCCCCTCCTTTTTTTGCATACGCTCGAACCGGGGTTGCCAACGATCATAGGCATACACAATCTTGCGGGGTTTGACTTGAAAGACGTTGAGGTACCGTAACCATTGTTCCACCAATTCGCTCTTGCCACTGCCCGAGGGACCTGCGATGATCACACCACTGGGTTGACGAATCATGATTCCCACGGTCGAGGGTGACGTCGATAATGACCTGTGGCCCCTTTAGCGCCCATGCGTTTATACCGTTTGTCGCGTCCCAATTTGTCGCCAATTTTATAGGCTTTGGCCAACACGCTCATGATTCCGCGCCCGTTTTGGCGAAAGCAGGGTCGTCGGGTGCGCCGTCGTCGTCGTTGTCTGCGGCTGGGCATGCCGTCCAATATTCGCGGTAGAGTCGTGGCGATTCAAACTGAATCAGACGTTCCATGGTCTCTCTTAAATACGTTTCGCTCATACTGTCCATGTACTGTTTGAGGGAGACCCAATCTTGGTCTTGCGCCAATTGTCGAGCCACTAACCAATGATACCCATCCCACGCGTCAATACCTCGCACGGTATTGACCCGCTCGATCGGGTGTTCCCACCAATACAAGGTTTCTTCCAAGAGGAACGCATCCACCACGCGCTGCACATCGCTTCGCGTAATCATGATGACACCAAATGACGTTTCTGGCACAGAACGTGTCGTTTTTATTCACACTTATTACAAAGCATAAAGGCCTGGCGGCTTACATTCTTTTGCCCGTCGGGTCGGGCATCCACTTCATCTTGTAATTCCTGTTTAATCACCCGTTTTAACTGTTCGGCCACTTTATGATCATTCAACACTAAATTGTCGCAACTCCATTGACTCAAAAATTCTTGATACGACCGTCCTTGCGCACGGGCTTTCAAGAAAAATAAAGCATAATGGCCACAGGTTTGACTATCCAGGGCTTGCAGGGTCTGGTCACTGCGCGTCAGGTACTTCCATTGACCCCACCATTGGTGCAATTCCGGGTTGGTGTACACGTGCAGGGGTAGACCATAACTGTCAAAGACCTCGCACTGGTTCTTTTCTGTCCACAGGCCCAACCAATGCTGGCCCGGTTCTCCCGCTGGATCAGTGTTGACAATGTACGCTTGACGGATATCCTTGGCGGGGGATCGGGGTAGCTGGTCAGCTGGGTGCACGCCGTGAAACACGCGTCGTAAAGTAGGATCCTCTAGGGCCAGGGTCCGCAACACAGTATCACTGAGCGCCACAAACTCCATGACCGGTGTCTTCTGACTTCTGAGGCAACCTCAGCCGTTGATGTTGTACTTTATACCTCCCAGATGATTGATCTCATACATGTTTTCATACTCGCTCCACACCAATACGGTGACGTTGTGACCGACTGCGGCGGCAAAATCAATGATCAATCGCGTATTGCCTGATTGGCGGGGGTTGCGATACTTGGGGTCATCGGCTTTTCCACTGGGCACATTGTTAAACATGAACAAGGTGCAGTTCTTGCCATTTCCCCAATCACTCGGCAGCAGCATCGGGATCTTGTCTTCATTGTAGGCACCCATGGCTTGCAGAAATCGATCGTAGCCCAGCAAATCTTCATAGGCTTCTCCTCCAGTCAGTTGCAGGGTTCTGTAAGGGTATTCTTCTCCATTCAAGGTCTGTCGTACCTGGGTGACCCCAAACTTTTCAAAGGCAAAGGGGTATCTTTGTAGGTCTCCATTGAAGGTATTGGAATGCAATAACCCGACAATCACTCGGTCAGGAAATCGACCCACAAACACATTGTCTTGTTCCCATTGGGTGGTGCGTCCATCAAAGGAAAATGTGCGAATTTCGCTCCGCACGACAGGGTAGCGAACAATCTGTTTGCCCAGCTGTCTTTCTTTCTGCAGTCTGACATAGACGCTGGCATTCAGGGTCACTTTTCTCATCAACAAGGTGACTTTGATGTCTTCATTGTGGATGGCTGGAAATTTCTTGTCATTCAAAGTTCCTTTGTTAGGGGTGCCCATCAAGTAGACAGTGTTGGGGTTGAGGAAGAGTTCAAAGTCCATCTGGATATTGGGGACCAACAGTTTGCCTGTCTTGAGGGGTGGCAAATGGGGACGAATGATGAACGTGTGCCAATTCTGGTCTAGCAACTTGCTCGTCAGGGCTCGCAATTCTGTATTGCCACTCCAATCAGCAGCGGTGGGCACACCAGAATTGGCTCCTGTGGCTCCCATGACTGGAATCACATTGAGCTGATTGACCCATCCTTGGGGGGCTAGCTTGGTGGCTCCTTCCTCTCGGTTGTAATTCAGCAGGGTTTCTATGTAGGCTCTGTAATGGTAGGTGTTGCTCTGTTCGGTCATGAGGACTCCATTCATGCTCAGGGTGATATCTCGAAAGATGGTGTGACCGAAATTGTTGACGCAGTAGGTGTTTCTGGTATTGTTGGCATCGGAGTTGGCCAAATTGGCTTTCAATCCTGCATACCCAGCCGCTGGATCGGTCAGGCGCACTTTGACTTTGAATCGGAGAGAATTGGGATCGTAATAATCGTCGGAGCCTGGAATGGAGAAGGTGATGGGTTGGATGCCTGTCAAGGCGGGTTGAAACTCCACCTCCCGCGAGGCTTCGTACCGATAATCCACATCGGGTACGTCAAACAGACTGAGCGACATGCTGCGAACTGTCCACGTTGTTCAACGGCGTCCTCTTTTTATACCTTTTCGCATTCTGTACCAATCATGGATGGGATGCGCGGCGGGAAAGGGGCGGTGAGGAAAATCGATTTGGATACGTTTTTTCAACTTGCTGAAGATGTTGCCCCCTCTCTGTTTCCGGGCTTTGGCTTGATTGGCCCACAACACCTTCCTGAGATCCCCCTGGCCAAACAACGTGCCCCCTTTCATACGGCGTAGGGCCTGCTTCACTCTCCAGGGTTCGGGGTTGATCCGGTTCGTCGCAGACGGGAACCCCAAAGGATTAGTACGCCTGCGGGTAGATTTGCCAAAAATCGTCCCCCCTTTCATCTTGCGACGTTGAGCCAACTGCCAGGGCTCCAACAAGCGGGAGGACGTGTGCATCAAGGGATAGCGCGCCATGGTCGACTTGCCAAAGATCGTGCCTCCCACTTGATACGGTGAAATGAACCGTCCACGGGCACGTTGCCGTCGAATACGGTTTTGCGTTTTCAGAAAGCCTCCTACACGTACCATTTTTACAGTCCAAAGATATCCCGTACGCGTTGCGTGGCTCTTTTATAGGTATTTTGGGCGGTCCGTTTGACCTTGTGTTTGCCCGCCGTCCAAGCCATGGCGGGGGCTTTGCGTTTCAATCCACGGCTGAGTTGAGCACTTCGATCCGCCCACGTGTCCGCGGCACTCTTGCCACGTTGAATATCTTGCAGTCCCGCTTGAGCTTGCTGCACGATCAGGGGTCCTGCCAGTTTGATCAAGTCTTCGGCCAACCCTTTCCCCTCTTGCTTGGTGAGCACGGGCGTGTGGTACCGCGTTAAACTGCCTCCGCGCATGGTTCACGTCGTGGTGCTTTTTGGACCCTCCAGAGAGATGGGGTGACTTTTTATAGCTTTTTGAGACCAATGGTCACCAAGGTTTTGCCCGGGGGCAAAATGGCCAGGGGTCCACTGGTACTCGCAATCTCCACTTCCACGATATCCATTTGCTGTCCTCGCAGTTTGATCCATTGGTGGTGCAAGGGTTCCACGGTACTTTCACCCTCGCCGGTTCTCAACAATTGCAATTCCCGCAACAGGGGATACTTGCCACTGCCCACCACGGTGGATTCGACCAGATCCGAATACACCATGACCGTACGCTTGCTGGTCCCCACCACTTTTTCAAAGGAGGCATCCAGGTTGTTGAACTGCCATTCTACCATCCTGGACAGATGAAGCCGCTTATTTTTTACCTCAAACATTTGATCCATCACGTCACTGGTCAAATCCGAGGGTTGCACCCCGGCATAATGCGCTCCTTCCCAATAATAGTCCGTTCGATTGGTGGGATTCGTGGGGGGTGTTTTGCTATCAAAGGTCACGGTGGGGCAAGTGAATTGGAGATTGGGACCCAGATTATAGCCCACCACGCCTTTTTGTTGTTCAATGAAGCCAAACCTTTCCGCTACTCCCAGATCCAGGGAAAAGGTGGTCGTGACTTTGGTCTTGTTGCCGTTCAACACGTCCACTTTAGGCACGGCATGCAACACCAAGGCATCGTCTTTCCAGCTCATCATAGGCATCCAGTTCTTTTTCACACTGACCAGGGGTCGTTCATCCGCATTGAAGGTCTTGGCAGAATCTTGTTCGTGCATTAGTGCCCGCATGGTCTTGTTGTGCCCTTCTTGCATCGTTCGTTTCCAAAACAGGTTCCCTGAGGTCACAGGATGTTTGGCACTCATGATATCTTCCAATTCCACTGTATACTCCTTGGTCTGAAAACTGACCCTTTGATACTCCCCTAGGACATATTTGCGTGTCAAGTACGTCACGCTGAAGGTCACGACTTTGGTATGAGGATCTGTGGCGATGACGGCATTGCTCTGGCCTTGATCCGGGACGGTCAAGGACATCAACGAGGCATGCCAGCCTTCGCCCGGTAAGGACATTCGTTCGGGCAGACGGACCTTGAAACTGTTGTTGGCATTGTTGGGAAACTCGTCGGTTGGATCACTGATGAGCGTCAAGCGTTTAATCTCACTCATGATGAAGAAGAGGCGCGTCCCATGGGGTGCAGGGTCCTTTTATAGCCACTGGTCCACTTTCTGTTTACTGCGAGGGACACGTCCCACCAACGAATTGAAGGTCGATTGTTTGGGATGAAAACACACTTGCTGAGCAATGTTGGGAAAAGCCCGGGCCAGTTCCATCAGGGTCATGCAGGTCTTTGGTTTAGGGGGTTTCTTCTTGCGCATGGGTGGATGACGCCCAGCACGTCGGCGTTGTTGTTTTTTCTTGGGTGGGGACCGTAGGGCACCCCGTTTCTTGGCATACTCTTCGGCTCGATGGTAGGCATTGGCGTAGGCCCATTGCTGTTTGGTGGGACTGGCCAACTTTTCCCACCACGGCTGGGTTTGCCGTTGTTCAGCGGCTTTCTTCTGGATGAAGTTCAGGACGTCGGCGTCACTGGTGGGAGAGGGCGTGTAACTAGCCCGCGGCCGACTGGAATCCGCCAGGACC